TTGAGATGATCTCCTTATGGTCATAGATAACTTGTAAGCCTGGAAGTCTGACGTCATCAGCTGTATGATAGCATATTCAGCAATTTATACATGAATCTCACCAAAGGAATAGGATTTGGTGGCACAGTTAGTACCAAGTAGATAGACTTGAGCCCTACACTGTGCTTAATCATCTTTCGAAACACTAATTCAAGATAAGCAATGAGCTCAGTGGAGTTCCTCTTCCTTGGAATAAAATGCAAATATACTACCTGGCTAGCTAAACCCTGAATGAGAATCACTTGTATAACTGACCCCAGGGTCTCTATCTGAACACATCTTAAGGAACACTACTTCTGCTTCAAATTATCAATAAATTCATAGCACCAAATTTCCTTTTTCTGACTTAAAACACATCCTTTATGCTCTCTCTCTCTATATATATATGCACGTTTCATATATAAGTATGTGTCTATATATGTATATATGTATATGTGTGTGCACATATAAAGATATATATGGGGAAATATATATATACATAAATATTCAACTGGAAACCATTACTTTACTTCTTAAGTAATCAATTTTGTACACTAAGTAGTGGATGAAAATCTGTGTGCTTTCAAGCCAAACACTTTAACTCTTCAACCAAAACACTTAGGAAATAATCTGATATATATACTTATTTCTAGCTCTTCATAAGTAACAAGAAAAAAGGAGAGCTGTAGCATCTTCAGAACTTTCCATCTATGTGTGAGGTCCTTCACTACCTTTAAATGGATTTGAGGGGCCGTAGGATTTATAAAAAGCCAAGAAGTTCAGTACAACTTGTTAATTCTAAGTTATCAAGACTCTGGTAAGTAAACAGGAGCAGAAACCCTTTATTTTTTTTTTCTGTTATTCCCCTCTTATATGTACAGTCATGCTAATCAGATGGAAATGGAACTAAAGGAAAAACAAAGTAAATCTCTTGATCTTACATAATCCAAGATTAAATTCATTGTAAGTCCAGAAACATCTTCGTCCAACCTAGTGCTTAAGCTTATTTATTTTAATTCACAGAACTTCCCACATTCTTCCTTTATTCCTGGTCTTTATTCACATGCTCATTCCCTATGAATGAACACAAATGTATTCCTTCCTGTATCATGTTCACTTGATTCATCCACCCGACAATGTTATTCAAGAGACCTTCTCTGAAAGCATGATGCTCCCTACCAGGACTTCGGGGACTTTGGAAAGACACAGTATTCACCTCCAGGTGAACCCTTGTCACACTTCAATTCATCTGCAAGTTTATTTGTTCATCTTTTTCTCAATAGTGTAAGTTCAATAATGGTAGGAATGTTCTGTCGTCTTAATGTATCTTCAAGACCTTGTACAGTGCTTTGCTTAATAGAGGTAATTAATAAAATAGTGAATTTAACAAATTTAAGCCTGTTCATTACCTTAAAAATATATTATCTCACCTTGATCTAAACTCCTTATAAAACTGTGGATTTAATATACATCCCCTTTAACAGACATTACAGGACCTGGCACGGTGGCCTGGTGCTTGAAGTCCTCACCTTCAAAGCACCGGGATCCCATGTGGGTGCTGGTTCACATCCCTAGCTGCTCTACTTAACTTCCAGCTCCCTGTTTGTGGGCTGGGCAAACAGTCGAGGATGGCCCAAAGTCTTGGGACCCTGCACCCACGTGGGAGACCTCAAAGAAGTTTCTTTCTCATAGCTTTAGACTGGCTCAGCTCCAACTGTTGCGGCCACTTGGGGGATGAACCAGCAGATGGAAGATGTTTTTTCCCTCTCTCTTTCTCTGTATGAATCTGATTTTCCAATAAAAATAAATCTTTTTTTTAAAAGAAACATTATATGTGTGACTGCAGATATATAAAAAGTGCCTGAAATCAAGTATAAAATTGTTGTTTTTGATATGGCAAACTTTAAATGAAATCCAACTGGTTAGTCTAGGTATACAAGATGGAAAGCTTCATGTTTTGAAATCAGCATCTCAAAGCACTTCTGTGTTGACTGCAACATTGTTCACAACAGACATGAACTCAACATGTCTTGATGAATTAAGTTGAAATGATGGAAAATACTCATGAACACTCAATGGCATATTACTCAGCTCTATTAGAGAATGAAATTCTGTGACTTTCAGGAAAATTGATGGAACTAGAGGACATTTTATTAAATTGACTAGGTCAGACACAGAGAAACATGCTCCCTCTCATATTGAGGTGGGCAAAAAATTATCTGAACATAAACTAGACTCTTAGAGGCTAGAGAGGAAAGAGGGAAGGCAGGATAAAAGAAACCTGGGTAACAGATACCAAAACACAATTAACAGAAGCAAAGTAGAGTTTAGCTCAAAATAATGCATATATTATATCTTATTAAAAATCACAAGAATCTGAAGGTCCAATACTTTATCAAATGATAAGGAAATGAACCTAGTTACCTAATTTTATCAGTACATGATTTATATACATGTTGCGACATTTTCTTGTGTTCCACAAAACTGAATAAATATTACAAAGAAATGTTTTGTGTTATGTATTACTTAATCAGCAAAAAAAATTTTAAATATACTTGATTTTGACACCATGCTAATAAAACACCCTTTTTATCAGCTTCCATTTTCAGCATTAGCTTATATGTATTTTAACATTTGCATGTTTTCTCTTTTGACTGAGAAATAACATTACATTTGATGGTAATTTATGAAATATGCCGCTAAATGCTAAACAAATACAATGAGGATAAATTTTGAGTGCTTTGTTATTTTTTTTTGACAAGAGACAACTCTACCCTCTGTATCTTCACATTTATAATTGATAGCAATGTGTTTTCTCAGATATGTTGAATGCTTTCCTTATCTTTGTGAAACAGGTAGCATCTGCTCTACATTCTTGTTCTCTAACTGTGTCATGAAAACAAGAGTCTTCGCCTGCTCAAATGAATTGCAAATGTAAGACAATGGACTGTGTGTTTGCACATCTCTCAGTTTCCCTGAAAACATCTAGTTAGGCACAGCACAAGTTCTCAATAAAGTGTGAATAACCAGAACTTCAGATTTTAAAACCAACTATTTCCTATCCATAAAAAATATGGTACTTAAGTTACATGAAATCAAATATTGAAGTAGAGACCAGCAAATTACAGCACATGGTCTACTTCTGTTATCTTTTTATAGGGTTAAAATTGCAATGGCACATGGCCATTCCTATCTCTTTCCATAGAGCCTATGGCTCCTTTCAAGCCACCATGCCAGTGTCCAGCAGATACAATGGACTGTAGAGTCTGGAAAGCGTAAAAGAATTATCCCCTGATCCTTTACAGAAAACTACTACTGACCTCTGCCCTAATCATTTTTCCTGATGAGGGAACTCAGTCTCAGATAAACAGCATATCTAAATGTGCTGTCAAATCTTCCCATTAACTGCAACACTGTCCGATAGGATTTCACTACCAGAGCAAACACTTAGTAAAAATAGTGGCATTTAAAATTACAGAAAACCAAATACACAAGTTATAATGGCTGTCTAAAGCCCTTTAAGAGTTTATAAATATTAATTTGTCCAAATTAAGATAGTAACCTCTGGTATAAACAATTTGTGTGAACATAATCATCCAGGCACACATGCAAAAACTTTTCTGTCAGAGAATATTAATTTTTATAAAATTATCGAAAAAGTCCAAGTCGTTCTGCAGAGCTTTAAAAGACATTGAAAGCAATAAGTGTCAAAGAAAATGCTTTTTAAAAAAGACCACACTGACCTCACATGCTACTCGATTAAGAGACAAACAGTTTTAAAGAAAGAAATCTCATTGTCAATGGAAGGAAAAATAGAGTGTGCCACCCCCAGCTTTCATCCTGTATCGGGACAGGAGAGATGAGCAAAGTACAGGACCATCACTTCTTGAACCAGTCTCTTAACCAAATCGGGTTTTCAACAAGTTACTTACCTCTGCATATCTCTAGAATCACAAAACTCCATCTGAAATATTCTTATATTTATTACACTAAGCTTCACTTAAACTTAGGTAATAAAAAGAGAGGAAAATGACCCTCTAGAATGATCAAGACTAAACTCATAAACGGAAATTTCTCTCAGACTCTATTCCCAGTAGACCAAGCTACTGTAGCATATGTATTTTAGGTAGTAATACTGATGTTTCCCAAGCTATCAGATACAGGGGGTGCCCCCAAATGTCATAGATAATGTATATTCTAAAAAAAAAACAAGTGTAGCTTCCAAAAAATTTTGTAACAAAATAAACTCATCTTGAAATCCCATTTTCCCTAGGCTTTTCTAAGTATCCCTATACAAAACAATTATATAGATACTTCTAAGATAGAAATGAAATATAATTGGCAGAATATCAGAACATCTGTAACTGATAAACTACATACAAGAAAATCTCGAAGTAGACAGAAAAGATATGATTTTACAGTTGGATCCTTCCTAACGCTTAGTGCAGATGACCTTTCCCCTATCAGAAGTCATCAATAGCCAGTCTGCTCAAGCTAACAAGAGTTTACACCATCCATTTAAACCAGACGGGGCTGGAAGAAGAAAGAGAAGACACCACGGAAGTGGTAAGGACCAAAGATCAGAGAAGACTATGTGTATAGAACAGGCCGATGTGCAGTGATAATGACGTAGAACAGTTGGTATCGCAGGGCATCACAGAGGCCTGGGTGCCTGAGAAAACACAACACCCTACTCTGCCCTCGCAAATCAGGGTGGAGACATTCCTGTACGCTTCAAACACCAGCAGTGGAAATCCTCTTTGGATAGAAATTGTTCAATCTTGTTTGGTTCTCACCAAGTGAAAGAAGCAGAACTGCTGAGTGACACCTCAGTTTACATCCATCAAGCCCTTCAGGGACCCCGTCAGTTTCCCATGTTTCCACTAAGGACACTAGAGGACCTACCAGGTAAGAAACGTTTTTCATAAATGGCTGAGCACATGTCCCTCCTGTTCATAGGGTCAAAAGTGGGGCAACATAACCATTACCTTGAATACTTCTCTTGAAGAAGGCTTTGCAGCCCTCACAGGACCAGACTCCATAATGGTAGCCCGAGGCGTAGTCATTGCACACTGCACAATAGCGTGTCTCCTTGGCAGATTCAATGGCCATGCTTCCTTTGTCACTGCTGCTGGTCAATCTCTCCCGGCCACCCGGGCGTCGGTTATCTGAACTGGGCCTATGGGAGGAAAATGGGAAAGAAAAAAACAGTGAATCCTCCATTATCATTAGAAAAGCAAAACCTTCACTCTCTTATAAAGAGTAAGGGTTTGGGGACATGTAGCAGACCCACTTTATTCTGACATTTTGAAATAATGAATCATAATGTAAGCTAATCTTTCATTACCTCTTGCCTTCTGTTGCAGCAAAAGGTGTTTGCCTATTATATTAACCTTCAGGGGAAATTGTTCATGGTAGAGTTGCTAAAAACCTGACTGCCTACCCTAGAATATATGACTCAGAAAACAACAAAGGGAAATTAGATGATTTTTAATAGTTTTCATTTTCTCAGAGATTCATAATTAATGCAGCACCATCAGACACCAATATCCATTCCAATTCTCAACCACACTGTGTGTCTTCCGGAAACAAACCAGCAAATAGAGCTTTACAGAGTCAGATAAACTGACACATTGTACAGAACACATACCTAAAAACTAAAAGCTAAAAATTTTGTCATTGTAACCAGTAATGTTGAATACCAGTTTTTATAACATAACAGGATACTGTTTAATAATCAATACTCCTCTTTAACAACATGTCAAACAAGGACAGAGACATAATTAACCTCAAATTTTTACAAGATGCTATGGAAGAAATAAATAACAGAAAGGAAATTAAGAGTGGGCAATGAGAAACTTCTAGAAGAACTAAGAAAATGGAGTAACAAAAAGCTCAAAAAAAAGAAGAAATATTTAATAAATATATAATGAGTGCGGCTGATTGGGACAGAAAATCTGAATAAAGCAAGGGCTCATGAAGTGAACATGGAGTTGACCAAGAGAATGTTTAGCAAACAGTTCTTGCAGAGGAGTATTCATAACACAAGCCAAAATCCATCAGCTGGAAGAGTAGAGGGATGTGAGGAAATTTAAAAAATAATCTGGATGAAAACCTGAAGAAAAATGAAGCAGGTGGGAAGCTAAGGAATATAAAATAAAAGGGACTTCTAGAATGAAAGAGACTTGACAAAGTGCTCAAGGAATTGGCCCGTGGAAGGGAATGGCTGAAGATTCAGAAACAGAATTAAAGACAAAGGCATGAAGAAAATGGCATCAGTTAGGATTATAGTCACCTCCTTGAAGTAGACTGGAAGAAAGACGTGAAAGAAAGAATTAGATGACTGTGGCTCTGTACCTCTGATCGGATCAGGTATAGAGGGAGATAGTATAATTCATTCAAGACTTGCTAGGCGTATGCAAACAAAAGCAGCAGAAGCAAATTGGCAGGACTCAACGCAAAGTCTTTGCTTCTTACTCAGATTTTACAACCATCTCCTCCTTCTCACTCATTTATATGGCATACAATTCTGTGGCAAAGCTTGTAAAATTATATTTACCACAATATTGCCAAAATATCAGCTATGTGGATTGAGCACATCTGGCTTGGCCAACATTTTCCATTCTAAATATCACAGCTCTGAGGTTGACAGCCTCAAACAAGGCTTTTTATTTTTAAAGATCCTTAGAGAAATTTTAATGGACCTTAAAGAACACTGGTTCATTTTTCAAGCCGAGTTCATATTGTATAACACATCTTATTCCATGTCACCATAATGCTGTTGAACTCCCCCACCATCAATGCTAATGCTTTCTACTCTTTATTTACTAATATCGTATGCATGATTCAAGCAAACAGGGAGCACTACAAATTGTTAATGACAAAAGCATAATGCCTTTGTGGCTGGGAATTAATAATGGGCCAGATTGGAGTTGATAGATTCATTGTTTTATAAACCTTACAATTGTTGCTGCCCTAATAACTTAGTTTCCAGCACTTAGCAGCATTCAACACTGTGTATTGAATGAGTGATTGGATGAAGAAAGGAATGAATGAATGAATGAATGCAGCAAGCAAATGAATGGCATATGTACAGGCAAAAGCTCCTTGAATAATGAATCAAGAAACTCTAATTGTGGTATGATTATACAGAACATAAACTTTATCATCACTTCGACCACTTTTATGTGTACAATTTATAAGTGTTAAGTGTATTCCCATCGTTGTGCAACAAATCTTCAAAACATTCTCCTCTCACAAAACTGAAGCTTCACACACATTCAACAATAACCCCTTGCTTCCTCCTCCTCCAGCTCCTGGCAGCCACCATCCCACTTTATGTCTCTATAAATTTGACTGTTCTTTAATAGTCAAACTAGAAAAATCATACAGTATTAATCATTTTGCGCCTGGCATATTACACTTAGCAAAATATCCTTAAGATATATCCTTCATATCACAGCATGTGTCAGAATTAATTCTAATTCTTTTTGTAAAGTGGCTAATATTCCACCCTGAGTGTACAACACATTTGTCCAGTCATCCTTGAGCAGAACTTTTAAGTCTCATAAATGGTGGTGCTACAAGCATGGTTTGTGGGTTTAGGCCTCACCTCTTTTCTGCTGTCTCCTCACTGCACTTGTGACAGACATGGCGGTTTCAGCCTGGCATTTCTTGGTACAAAGTGCTTATTCCACATCTAATACAACCTTCCTTTTCTTTCCCCAGCCTGAGATTCTTTGGCTTCAACTTACTTTTGTAAGACTAAAATTAACCACTATCATTCCTTTTATACTCAAAAGTGTTTCCATGTTATGCCTTCCTAATACAACTTCACAAATTCTTTTTTTTTTTTATTGATTATCTTGCATTATGTGACACAGTTTTATAGGCACTTGGATTCCTCCCTCCCCTCCCCAAAACCTGCCCCCTCCCCATGGTGGATTCTTCCACCTTGTTGCATTACCACAGTTCAAATTCAGTTGAGATTCTTTCCTTGCAAGCATCTACAAAGCATAGAGTCCAGCATCTTATTGTCCAGATAAGTTCAACAGTTTCTTGGGGAGACCATCTCTGGTCTGAAGGTAGAGCCGACAGAGTATCATCCCAAGCAATTAAAAGCCCCGACATTACATCAGTAACAATTTATAACATAATGGAACTAGTTGACATGGTATTGTGTAACAAGCATGTTAAAAGAGAAAGAGAAAAAACAAACAAACAAACAAAAAAAAGAGTGCAAGTTCTGAACCACATCCTATGACTTCTACATTGACATTACAATTATTAGTTTATATACAACTGGGTTCTATACACCTTGAAGTGGCTATAGATTACTATTCAGCTGTCTGTTTTAATTTTAGCATTTAGCAGTTTATAGAGTTGAAGCATGATTTTGCAGAACCTGGTTGTTTTTTGAGTAGTCTAACTCTATAACTCTAACAAGACATATGTCAACAGACAAGGTGAACAGTTTTAGGAGGGGTGTGCAGAGAAATCTTCAATACCCTAGTGAGGAGTAACTAATCTTTGTGTCCCACCCAGTGAGTTATAAGTGCATCCCCACTGCCTGTTTCCTGTTTCTAAGCTTTCCTTGCTGTTCTCTATCTAGTCTAGTTTTTTTTTGTTGTTTATTTGTTAGTTTGTTTTGAGGGGTTTCTGGAGCAATCCTGATGGTCATTATGAGAGAGGGTGGGGACCCAAAGACGGCACCAGGCAAGAACCAGAGAAAGCTCCTCTCTTTGGTCCCGAAGGAAGCTTACTGTGTTGTTTCTGCAGACCACTCAGTGCTCCTGGTTGTCATTCCAATGACCTTGGATCCTGCAAGACAGGGTATGGGCTTCTTCCATCCCATGTGGGAGATCCAAATGGAGATGGGTGACCTCAGAGTTCTCGGCCTCCAAAGGCATTCCAATTCCCCGTGGTCTCCTTGGCAGTTGGGATGTAATCCTCGGAGCTCATACTTATAGTCTTTGGTGAGGATCTAGGAGTCTTCAGGATTGGGATACAAGCCTCCTCCTGTCTGCCTGCTCCACTCTGGGGTCCCCCCTGCTCTGTGCATATGACCTCCTAATAAGAGGTTGTTGGGATTGCTCCTGATTCCCCCCATATGCCTTTGTAGTTTTGCTATTGTCTAATGCTGATTTGAGTCTGTTGTCTATGAGTTACCAGTCATGATCCTGACAGGCTATCCTTCCCGTCTTCCTCACACCTTCTTGGGTGATGAAAGATTTCTCTGCTCTCCCTCCCCATTTCTGAGTAGCATAGGGCCTTACAAGTATATTAGGTTTTACAATTCTCTGATGTAGATCAGAAGCAGTCTGACTCATATCGATTGTTGATTCATTGGTTACTTCACAATATCTTTTTGCATGAGATACAGGCTGTTTGGGGTTGAAATAATATTACTGTTTCGGATTGACATCAATTCATAACAGCCACATCAAGAACAACAACAACATCAACAAGTTATATCACCCAGAAAAAAGAAACACACCACTGAATAGCCAACACATGCGTGACAAACACTGAAGTCTCTTGGGAAAAATGATGCCATCATATACTTCATGAGCACATGAATGTAGGCCAGAACTGCACAAATTCTTAAAAAGCATTATTCCATATAAGTAAATGCTTAACTAATTCTTTAACATTTCCTTCCTTTCAAAATTCTTATATCTAACTGAATTGTCACTGAGATTTTACAGTTTCTCATCTTATATCAAGACTGTCTCATGTGTCAAGAAGCTGACCACCTTACCAAACCTCACACTAACACATTAGATGTTCTTGAGTCCACAGACATCTTTCAAGATAATGTGAGGAAAAGAAAGCAGAAGCTCAAGTGAGGAACAGAGGTATATCTTATATGAATTATCCAATGCACTAAAACCTTGAAACACACAAGTGGCAGAGAAAGCCTGGCCAGAGAGATGCAGGACAGTACAAAATGGAGAGCACCACTGCACCTTGAGAAACTAAAACTTCACCGGCAGAGATTCACTTTCATGTTCATTGTGCTCACTGACTACTGAATATTTCCATTTAACGTAGCAAAGAGTGATATCTGAAGGGATTCATCTTGGGCCCAGAAAGTGGGCTGCATTGGCCAAAATGAAACACAATTAAAAAAAAAAACCACTTGCCAATATTTTCATTAAGCAAAGGAAATGTCTGAAG